TAACTTTTTTGTTGTTAAATTTAATAATTTGCTTGTAAATTGAAGGGATGAGATTAAAATTCAGGCATTCTGGTGTTCTTAATCCCTATACTACTCCACAATAAGAAATGTAATGAATATAATTGCATTCACTAATATTTAAAATAAATCATGATGGAAAGTAACAAAAAATGACTTTCTCAGTTTGAAATACATGCTGAAGGATCATGGAAAAATATTTCTCTTCTAACACTGAGTAAATTTAACCAATTGATTCAAACGCTCAGTGGCTCTTTTTTTGGTCCCCAAGTAATTGCAGTTGGTTATTTACCAAGTATTCTGAACAGGTACACTTAAAAGTAGGCAGTAAAATAAATGTGCATAAAGTAATTGGTGAAGCCAACTTCAGAGAAAAGAACCATACCACTGAAGGAGTGCATTAAAACTTTCTAGTTAATAACCCTAAAATAGCATGAATAAGGAAAAATAAAACTTTAGATCTGTTGCTTTCAATCTGGCTACAGACATAAAAAAGAACAGTAAAAAAAAGGAAGGACAAAAGAAGGGAATGGAAAGAGAATGAAAGAAAAGAAAAAGGGAGATGAAGGAAGATTAGGGGAGGAAAGGAAAAGGGAGATAGAAAAGCCCATGCTGGTGTGGCACAGTTGGTTGGGCATTGTCCCACAAATTGAAAGTTTGAGGGTTCGAATCCCAGTCAGGGCACATGCCTGGCCTGCACATTTGGCCCCTGGTTGAGGCACATACAAAAAGCAAACAATCGATGCTTCTTTCTCATATCAATGTTTCTCTCCCACACTCTCTCCCTCCCTTCCCCTCTCTATAAAGTCAATCTAAAAAAATTTAAAAACAGTGTTGTTGAAGCCAACTCTGTCCTTCCATGACAGGGAGAGGAGATTAACAGAGAAAACCCAGCTGTATAATAGACAGGTTGAGCTTGGCAGGCTCTTCTCTATGAATTTCTCATGGGAATAAGAAGACAACCTGCCTCTCTGGCATCTGTTTGCCTGCACAGGCTTCACAAATAACCTGAATCTGGGCATCCTGACCAGGCCCTGAATAGCCAAATGGTTCAGGAGGATCATGCAGGAAAAGCTGGGAACTGAAGACCATGGAGCCTCCCGATCTCCTATGTGCATCTGAACACATATTGTGGGTGACTAGAAAAGGTTGGGGTCTGGCAGCACATAGAAACCTTTATGAATCACTCATACAACCCCTGTCATTGACCAGCATAAACTATGGGATATAGTCACAGTGTCCCTCACTCAATGAGGCTAACCAGATCCTGGGGAAACTATGCTTCCATAAATAAGTGAAATAATGTTGATCACAGGCATGAGAAAGAAACAAATATGAAGAAAGTGGCCTCAACACATAATATTTTAGAATCTGAAAAATACAAATTTTTCTCTCTGGAATGTTTCACTGTCAAATACACATGCAGCACACAGCTACTCCAGCAAACACTGAACTTTTAAATAGGTTCAGATGAACTAAATAAAAGTAAATAAATACTAAAGCTCATATATATATTTATATATATATATATACATACATATATATATCAAGAAAAATTAAAATGTAGGACACAATGTTTGTCATAAAACATCATTTTGAAATCCAAAATCTCACTTCTTTCTTTAATTAAAAACAACAAAATCACGTTTCCTTTATTAAGATTTTGGTCCAAAAAGTAATCATCTTCTTATGCTTTGATAAGTGCATCATTCAGAGAATTGTGTTCTTATTTTACCATTAAATTCACTTAAATAATTTTTCTCACTAGAAATGTGTACTGTTGTTTTAAAAAACATAAAATACATGGTTCATTTATTTAACATTTGATAACCTGTCAAAGTTAAAGCTGAAAGTTATTACTATCATGAACTATAGTTTCAAATTTCACCACAAAAATGTTTGCAGCATACGAGGAGGAAAGTAAGCCAGCCAGCCAGCCCAGGATTATAAAAATTGTAACAAGACAGTTATTCTACAGACAAAATGACTTTTAGAGCTTCAAACACGATTCTTTGCCAACACACTATCCTCCCCAACCAATGAGCAGCTGTGACACGAGTATTGTCCAATGACGGCAGCCTGCCTTGCAGTCACCACCAACGGTGTCCTCCTGTGTACCAACTAATTCTTACACATGAAAGGCCCACTCCTTGATATACAGATGTGCACTGAAAATATGGCATTCACAAGGGCCTGCCTGCAATACGTGAGGTAGGGGCAAACTGTGTCTCCTGCAGAGTCTGACCCTTCCTCAGTTGTGCATGTTCCTTTTGCTTCTTAAAAACAAAAACAAACAAACAAAATAACAAAATGCACTCTCTCTCTGTAACAGGTTTTCATCTGCATATTAAAAATATCTTCTGCTCTGAAGATGGACAATTCTGAATATTTGTACTTTTAAAATTTAGACAGGAAAGGGTTAACACACATATTTCTACCCAATTCCTAACCTCCAGGAGAACAGTTTTTTAAATCTTAAATTACAGAAATAAAAATGATAGGGGTCCCACCAATTGTGAAGTTGGGTGAGAAATAAAGCCTTGTAATCTCTGTGGTCAGCAGAAAAAGCGCCTCTCAGAGCTACCTTCCAACTACAACAATTTAGCATGCTTGCTACAAGAAAATTATAATCATATGAGCTTCATGCATGATTGTTACCATAACTGTTTATTATTTTAAGACTCTCCTTGACAATCAATCAAATGAAGCACTGCCAGTGTAGGCCTTGCAACCACGAACAAGAAACACAATCAAGTGCCTTTTCTGAAGAAAAATGTAATGGCCTATGTTCCCAATTTGTGTTTCCTACCAAAAAGAAGCATCTAATAAAAGTGAATTAGACAGAAATTCATGTCAGAGAATATTCTGTCATCTCACATTCTTTACAGTATGGTGAATTAACCAAAAGTTGCACTTATGATTGAAAAAAGAAAGGCTGTCATCATATATCAGGGAGTATATTAACCCAAAAAAGATATGCTCATGTGCCTTAAAGCAAACTGCTTAAGAGAAATACAATGAATCATAATCTACTCTAAAATCTCCATTAGAAAAGGTTTTTAAGGTGTCAGATGACACACACCTCATCTTTTATAACCTTTGCATAGTATAATAAATATGCATGAAATAACTTAAATGCTCTAAAAATGGGAAAAAGCTAATTGTTCTATAAACCATTTTTCACATATATCTTTAAAAAGGAAACTATCATGGAAATTTAAAATTAAAATCCTGGGGATAAAATAATAACTTTTTCTTACATAATAATATCTGATTGAATTAAACTATGTGATTCAAACTATGAAGGAATACAATCAAATGTATATTCAGCCCCAAAATATTGATGCTACCCCAAGGATGTTTGCAAAAAAAAAATCTAAGCCTTTTCCAAGAAGGCAGGCCTCCCAGGCCACAGCAAGCAAGAGAAAACCTAGCACTTCCTTGTGCCCACCTCATCCCCATCACCACCAGCACCATCTGTTTATAACACTATAAATGACAACCTGCCAGTTTCATCCTGCAGTCTACGAACTAATTATGTCTTCATTTCAACATTGCATTATTTCACGACTTAAGTATTGGATACAAACATTCATCTATGCCATGTAATGTAATTGCACAAGTTTAAATTTGCTATCAAGAACAGTGTGGATATCCATCCCCTTTCCATCTCTCTTCCTATCCAGAAAAATAAAGTTGCATTTTTCAAAGGGTTAAACAACTTTGGTTTTCAAACTGGGGTTTTTGCGTAATATAATTATTCTTAACATTTGTTAATTTCTTTAAGTCATTCCATTACGGTTACTTTTTCAAATACTTAGTTTCTCTACCAACCCACACTAAATAACATGGTACCCTGGAAATTATTTTTGTAAACACAGAGAAATGATATCAGCATGTGCCTTTCAACATGGCACTTAGGCACACGTTGTATGTAAATTTGTTCCGTGAAGTGAAATTTGTTCACATACTGCAACAGGTCCTGCAATTTTGAAACCACACTCCCGACAAAATGACAGTGAGCTTTGAAGGATCAACAATTCAAGATAAAAAAAATCAACAATTCTTCAGACTTACTCCTAATTTTTCTGAGATGTCAGAAGAGAGAGACCTAACGAAAAGGAGTATTTTGTTTACAAGACCCTCTTCCTGCCTTCTCCACGGTGTGTGATAACCGTGGGTCAGAGCCCAAATGGACACAGGCTCCTCTCTAGCTTCCGTGCAGAGTTGATGACAGCAGGGTCACTTCTGCAGAGGTCTGGCAAGTCCTTACCCCTAAGTTCCCTTCCACTTTGTGTCTGTTTCCAAAGCTATCAAAGCAAAGCCATTGACAGTCTAAAACCTCCCTGTTTTGCCACGATAGTGTGAAATCAAATTAAAAACACACCTCAGAACTATTACATTGGGCTACCTTGATATTTGAGGAGGGGGAGGGGAGGAGGACACTTAACAAGAGCTGATTCCACGTACTTTGTGTCCCCAGCTCCTGTTCCCCTGCATTAACTTAGGTCTAAATAAGAAAAAGACTGGTCAAGTGCTGGATCACAAAGCAGCGGGAGATCAAACACAGCAAGTATCATCCCCCCCCACCCCACCCCCGCGCCTTCCAGATTCTGATTTTAACCTCCTTTGTCAGGCACAGAATTGGAGGAAGGTTCTCGGAACAATGCCCCACGCAGCAGGGGTGCTAGACAGACAGTCTTGGGTCCTGATTTCACCCTAGCCCTGAGCCCCACGCCGGCCTCTCTCGGTGGCAGCGGGACGCACCGCTGTGGCCCAGCACGAAGCATCCTTTGTGCCGCGGCGATAACGGACTTGGTCTAGTCTGCGCACATCCATGAACGAGATGGAGAAACGCAACTCGATCTGGCTGGAGAAGACACCATGCAGACCACGGCTGCTCTGGGCAGCCCGGTCCCGGGAGAATCAAGCGTGTCTGAGGCGGCCCAGCCAGGGGAAGACAGCCAGCGTGGTACCCTTACCTCCACATTGAAATACTGCTCTGTTCCGCAGACGGCATCACATAAAATCCAAAGCAATGTTTGCAAAAATATCGTCCCCGGGTGATGCACGAAATCCAGCCGTCTTCCAGAGCAAAGGGCGAGTAGGATCATAGTGGACTGGGCTCCAGTGGACTCAAGAGTTCCCTGCGCCGTCCCCCCTCCTTCCCTCCTGCTTCCTTTCCAAAGTGCTGGTGGGAAGGAGCCCACAGGTCACCACCGCCCCGGGTCTGGGCCGCGCTCCGCAGTCAGAGCAGAGCAGTCAGGTCGGCAGAGGTCCGCGATCACTGTGGTCACTCAGTACCGGCCCGACCCAGTTTAGCGACCCTCCCTTGAGTCTGCCCAACGTGCAGTCCGCTCTGCCACCTCTGGCTGGGCTCCTGCAGAAGGGCTGCATAGGCTCACGTCCCTCCAGAACGTTCATCCGAGATCTACATAACTCCTCCTTCCTGTCTCCCTCCCGGTCGAGGCGCCAGGCCGGGGCGGGGACGCGCGCGCGCACATACAAACCTGCTCTGGCACACACAAACATATATGCACAGACATATATCTGCACACGCAAACACAACCACAGTCTTCACACAGCCAGGCGTATTCACACACACACACTTAACGTGCCTGCACATATGCACAGCAGTACACACAACAGCCGGGGGTGTGTGCTTCAGGGGAGGGGTTGGGATAAGAGCCTCCATTGCACCGCGCCCTGGAGGCGACAGGGGCTCTGGATGGCTAGAAGTCTTCAACAGAATCCCCACCTCTACACCCAGCAGGCAAGCTGATCACCTTGCCCAGACCGCGGAGCCCTTAGAAAGCCATGCTCACACCCTGCCGGGTAATCCGAGTGTGGGGGGGAGAGGCCCTGCCTAGTCCTGGAGGTGTCCCTGTCTGTCCCCCATCCAAAGGCCAGAAGATGGGAGCCCTGGGCATGAGGAAACCCAAGGCGGGGTCCTGGGTGGCCAAGAGTGGGGGAGCCAGAGATGCAAGTCCTGGCATTCAAGCTTTGTTGGGGTGCACAGACGTAGCCTGTGGCCTTTCTCCCCCAAGTTCTCTTCCACATTGCCATGCCACGCGCGCCCGCTGAAATCAGGGAGTGAGCACAGGGTTTGGGGCTAAGACCTAGTGGAATACAGAGGCTGGGAGAAAATGCTCACTATCAAAGGCCTCCCATCAGGTGAACATACCTGCGCCTTAGGACACAGGAACGGTGGTCCTAGGTGTTAGCAAGCTGGAGAGAGGGGTCCCTGGGCTGGCTGGGAAGGAGGAGGGTGCCGCCGGAACTAAGGTGCAGGAAGACTGGGTTTGGGGTTGCGATAGTTGCGGGGGGGGGGCGCAGTTTGCCTCTGGGGGTGGGACTACAGAATTTGGTGGAAAGGTGCTGCTGCAGGTGGTCTCCCATGGGTGGAGTTTCTCCGGGAAGGGTTGCCTGAAGGACTAGGAGTATGTCGCTGCCGGGAAGGACGCGATTGCAACAAGGAATTCATGGGCTGCCAAGAGGCCTGTGGCCGCAGCAGTAACAGGCTGCGAATGGGGACAGCACCCAGCAGCACTTGGCAAATAAGAGTTTGGCTGAAGGATCGATGGGGTAAGGGCAGCTGTAGGCATGTATTTGGGGGCAGGCCTGCAAGTGTGTTTCTCCCTGGAACCAGCAGAAGGGAAGCAGAGCTCATTGGAACTAAGTGTGAGCACGATGGGGAATAAAGAGGGTTCCAGGTATGACATGGACATAGGTGTGGCACAATGGATACTGGCAAAGCAGATTTAGGACTGCAAGAGGGCATGTTTGATGAGCAGGTTAAAAAGGTTGAAAAACGCTGCTAGAAATTACATTCCAAGGTAAGAAGTTCTATCCTAAAGAGAAACACCAAACAGGCTGAGGAATGGGACTTTGCAGCTAAGACTTTATAAACTGTAGGAAACACGACCCCCCAAATTTGACCGTCTCTAGGGGAGGCTTTCCTGCCAATCTGCTCTGTGCACAGCAGATCCTACCCACAAAAGAAATGTGAACCCTTAATAAGAAGAAATATCTTACATATATCAGCATATTAATATTCACAGAACATCTTTTTTTTTTTAATTTAAAAAGCCCTGGTTGGTGTGGCTCAGTGGATTGAGTGCCAGCCTGCAAAGCAATGGGTCGCTGGTTTCATTCCCAGTCAGGGCATGACTGGGTTACAGGCCAGGTACCCAGTACGGGGGCACACAAGGGCAACCATGCATTGATGTTTCTCTCCCTCTCTGTCTCCCTCCCTCCCCCTCTATAAATGAATAAATAAAATCTTTAAAAAATTTTTTTTAATTCGCAGAATATTCCCACACACCATAACTTCTTTAATTCTCACAACATCCATGTTTTATTTTTTTGTTTCACAGATGGAGAAAATGATGGTCATAGAAGATAACTCCCAGCAAATCATTCATGGGGCAGGACGGAGACCTGAATTTTCTGACTCCTATATCAGTCAGTACATTCCCACTACACTCCAGTGATTTTTCCATATAGAAATTAATTTCTGCTGTGAAGTTTGACAATGTATAGATTGAAACTTACATAAAAGAAACAATTAGAAAGCAACACAGAGAGTAAGGCCTTTATACAGAAGTTACATGGTGCCCTGTGTACATAAAGTAACAAAATGTGGGTAGAACATTTGTCAATAAATCAAGTGTAAAATGAGAGAGAAAAGAAATGCAAAAAGGTATATACATTTACCTAGCAAAGTACACAATTAAGAAAGAAACAGAAAAAGTATATACGTTGTTTCTAGCAAAGTGCAAAATAAGAGAGGGAAGAGGTACTGAAAAAAAGTTTACACTCTTTTCCTAACTAACCCTTGAGACAGTATGGAAAAAGGGGGAATAAAACAATTTCACATGAGATGCATATGAGGAAACAGTTCTAAAAGCTGCAGTCCTTGCTAAATAAGACAGAATATTAGGAGACCTGATCAGCAAGTGAATGCAAAATGAAAGCTTCAGGGCCATCAATAAGGAGGGTTTTCTCAGTGTAGGCAACCTGTTCATCAAGGAAAACACCTCATACTTCAGCTCAGAACAATTCATGCATTAATAGTGTTTGTGGAGGACATGATATGGGGAGAAGCTTGCAATAAAACATTATGTTAATATTTGATCAAACAGGCAACAAGGATTGCTATATCATTTTAGGTAAGAGTAAGCATTCAGGGAAGGTTATCTTCAAAATTATGCATAGAATTGGCCATAGGGAAAGACTAAATACAGAGAACGGTTAAAACAAGATTGTAGTCCTGCTGTGATCTGTGAGAGTCTACTGGTGAGATCCTTGGGGAACCATGCTTTCAAGGTGCCACCTTGAGGGAAATGAAAATAGGGAATCCTAAATTCAAAAGGTAATCTCAAATCAGTGATTATTAATATTGGTAATCTTTACACACATTTATTGCATTTATTCATGGGCATTCAGTGAGCAATGAATGAATGTCAAGGTTCTAGAAATATTAACAGAAATAAAATCCTGAAACAGACATATACAACGTTGTAAGAACTCAAGTAATTACATGTGAAAGATGTTAACAAAGAGAGGAAGAAGTAGTTGATGCTCCCCTAGGCCCTTGGAGAAAACATCACAAATTAGTGGTTTTCAGAGGGTATCTTCAAGAAAGTGTGAATCTACCCAGTAGATCAGAAAAGGAAGGTTATTTCAGATCTTTATGCAATGGAGGAGTAAACATACCATCTGTGCCTGAACTAACACAAATGCTTTGTCAAGGATGAAGGTAAAGGTGTGTAAAGGCAGGTCAAGGTCACAGTTTGCACATATGTGCAGAAATCAGAGCAGAGTCTCATGTGCCTCTTTAGGCCTCAGACTTGACCCTAAAGGAATTCCTGGGAGATTACTGAATCTTCACTACCTTTGTTGTGTATTTGCCAACTCTGGAAAGAGCCACCTTCCAGAAGTTCTCACACATTTTACTCCCTATATGGACTCAGTTGGGTGCCTATGCAAAAATAATCACTGGCTTTGTCATCTTATTTCTCATCTCTTAGGTTTATCTTTTAAGGGGGGAAATTAGGAAACCCCTATTCTCATATTTCAGTAGTGTTAACTTCTTCATGGGTGGTCTTGGAGGACTTGTTTTCCTATGCACAGTAAGTTAAAATGTAGAATATAACCATCCTTTACAGGGTTAATGAAATAGTTCCTCACAAATCTTAGCACTGCTATGTGTGCTTCCTGTCACTTTCTTTTCACAACTTTGCCAAACTAATGAAGTGTGTCAGAATTATATGTGAATGCAGAACCAAGAACCTAGAGAAATTAAAAGAAAATGAATAAGATAGCCAAAGAAAAGAAATAATTCCCAATGGTGAAGATTAATAGCAATTCAATAAAAAATTAATGGGAGTGAGGGGTTCTGATGAAGTAAATGATATATGTAAATCTGAGAGGCAAGTGACAGATACTTAAACATGCGTAGTTGAGTGGCACATTGGGAAGTGAGTGATTATAACTACCAAAATAACAATGGAGGTAAATAATATATTAGAATTGTCATTGAAGCAGATTCCCTAATAACCTAGAGCCTTAGCAATGAGTTTCACAGCTTGGAATGTTACCTAAATGGTTCATTCTTCTATCATACCAATTTGGAGAGGGGTCTTCTTCTGTATTTGTATCAATTGAACCTACAGTGTTTTTTTAAGATTTTATTTATTTACCTTTAGAGGGGAAGGAGGGAAGGAGAGAGGGAGAGAAACACTGATGTATGGTTGCCTTTCGTGCATCCCCTGCTGAGAACTGGCCCCTGCTGGGAACTGGCCTGCAACCCAGGCATGTGCCCTGACTGGGAATTGAACCATGATCATGTGGTTTGTAGGCCCGCGCTCAATCCACTGAGCTACATCATCCAGGTGAACCTACGGTGTTTTTTGAAATTCAGAGAATATTGAGTTAGTCTGAGCTGTTGTCATTCTCTCATGCATATGTTATTAGCAAGAGGCACATGCATAGAACAGTCAACTAAAGCCTTGCTGTTTAAGGGGTGCTCCCTGTGGAAACTTAAGGTTGAGATCTTGTCAGAAATAATGACTCTCTGGCCACCCCATGATTCCAAATGATCCACACAGAGGGTGAGATGGTGAAGGTATTGCCTTTCATCCTGCCCTTGAAGATGGTATGATTTTTTTTCCTTCCTTGACTTAATGCTCTTTGAGTCTCCATGAGTATGAGTGTTGTTCAAGTATTTAATTTTCTGCTTATTTATTTGTTCATTCATTCCTGCATTGAACATTTATTAATCACTGTAAAATTACCAAACAATTGAGCATGAAGATGGATAAATGTGAAGGTAAGATGAGCCACATCAGTTTGATTAGGCAGAGAATGAAGTCTTGGACTTTAAAGTTGTTTCCATCAATGTGAATTTA